TTATTTTGATATATCACAGTGAAAGATTTATCGTCCTCTTTTTTTTTTTTTTTTTTTTTTTTTTTTTAAAAAAAAAAAAAAAAAAAAAAAAAAAAAAAAAAAAAAAAAAACACCTAAATATTGTTCTACTGCCTATTACAGATGCCAAATAGTCAACTTCAATAGTAAATGAATGGATTAGCATAAGTCTTTGCCTGGCGTTACATGAGAGAAGAGACCCAATCTTCAAAGCGGAACAGAAAGGTAGGCAACCAAAAGAAGAGAAAGGGTGTGGTGGTGCATGCCTGTAGTCCCAGCACTCGGGAGGCAGAAACAGGCAGATCTCTGTAAGTTCAAGGCCAGCCTGGTCTACATAGTAAGTTCCAGGCCAGCTGGGGCTACAGGGAGACCCTGCTTCAAAAAGACAAAAATAAATAATAAATAAATAAATAAACAAACAAATAAATACCACTGCTTAATTACATTCTATCCTTCACCAATGAATCAAAATTATATTATCAAGCACCAACTAAGAAAACTCAAAATATATGCAGCATAAAATAGAATTCATATTGCAAGTTTAATAGACCATGAAGAAAAGATGGAAAACTTTAAAGTAAATTCTTATCCTCTAAACTGGTCTTGGATTATAAGACAAAAAAAAAACTATGATTTAGGAAGGGAAAGAAGAAATTTTTGCTACAGACTAAACAGAATATGTACTACAACTCAGAAACTTTCTGAAGTTCCCTATGCACAGTTTTCCCCAGAATAAAAACATCCATTCCAGCCATCACTGCTTGTCAGATTTATGAACTTCTTCTAGGTTACTAGGTACATAGTATAGCTACTTCATGTTGACAAGTAGGAAGGTTTGATAAGATAGTTGAAACTAATGTAGCAACTGAGATCCAGCTAAATCGTAATAAGTTTCAGTACACAAATTTTTATGAATAATAATTAATTGTACAGGCCCTATGTTAATTTGGTAAGCAGTTTTTCTAAGTACGACATAAATCACACAATATTACTCAACATAAGAATATAATACAATCAGCTGTTCTTCAGATATTATAATACAAAAAGTGTGAGTTACAATAAACTCATCATTCAAATTAAATTATGTCCTCTTCTGATTACAAATGTTGGCTGTGGGTAGAGCTCAATGGCCTAGCATGCTCATGAAGACAACAATGTTTATAAATGCTGAAACAAGCACAAGTACAATCAACAAGGAATTTGGCTACTGCAAAAATTACAACTTAAAAAAAATTCCAACTGCTGCTTTTTCCTTAAGAAAACACTTCAAACTACTTTTAATAGGTTCTCTCA